AAGAGAAGAATGAGGGGGGATTTGATAGCAGCCTTCAACTACGTGAAGGGGGGTTCCAAAGAGGATGGAGCTCGGCTGAGCTTTTCAGTGGAAGGTGGCAGAACAAGGAGCAATGGTCTCAAAACTCAGTGGGGGAGGTCCAGGTTGGATATCAGGTAAAAACTATTTCACTAGGAGGGTGGTGAAACACTGGAATGCGTTACCTAGGGAGTTGGTGGAGTCTCCTTCCTTGGAGGTTTTTAAGGCCCGGCTTGACAAAGCCCTGGCTGGGATGATTTAGCTGGGAATTGGTCCTGCTTTGAGCAGGGGGTTGGACTAGATGACCTCTTGAGGTCCCTTCCAACTCTGATATTCTATGATTCTATGATTCTATATCATTGTTAATCAAGAGTAACTGCACTGAAATCAGTGGCGTTTTTAGTGTTCCGCGATCACTTGGTGCTTAAGGTGTTGGCAAGAGATCTGGTTTATTCTGAGTCTGGTTTCAACTGACTGTGCATAACAACAGCAAGAGTTCTACAGCGCCTTGGCCAGACTCTCTGTCTGGGAAGCTCAGCCCTTAAAAGCAGAGTCCACAATGCCACAAAGATATGCTGTTGGAAGTGAGAGGAAAATCAGACCTCAGCAGCTGTAAATAACAGTATAGCTTCCTTGACTTCACTGAACCATGAAGTATAGATTTAGAGCTGAACTCTCCCAAAGTGTGGGGTGTTTGTGTTCGGGGTTTCTTTGGGGATCACCACCTCTTCCTCACACTTATCCCAAGCTGTTTCCCTAGAAATCTGAAAGCAACAGTGTCACTAATGTTATGTCTAAAGATGTCACCTTTCATTATTTTTAAAAGCATGAGAAATACCCTCTACCCCAATATAACGTGACCCCGATATAACACGAATTCTGATATAACGCTCCGGGGGGCGGGGTTGTGCACTCCGGTGGATCAAAGCAAATTCGATATAACGTGGTTTCACCTATAACGCGGTAAGATTTTTTTTTAGCTCCTGAGGACAGAATTATATCGAGGTAGAGGTGTATACCTTTATTATTTACATCTGTTCCTTTCTCTGCTGCTGCTTTGACTGTAGCATCTACCTTCATCTCTGTGGCTGTTGCTGCCTTTGCATACTGTGGGCCTCATTCTAATCTCACTTACACTGATGTAAATTGGGAGGAACTCTACTGAAGTTAACGGAGTTGCACTGGTGTGAGATGAGAATCAGTCTTTGTGTTCCTTAAACTTTTCTATTCGAAGGTTCGAAGGCGCATTGCTTTGGGGCTTTGTTGAGGCAAGTAGAAAGTGTTCTCTACATCCAATTACCTGTGTAATTGTATCTCCTTTGATTATTTTCTCTCACAACTCACCAGCCCCTGTCTGAACCCCGTCCTCTGTGGCCCCAAAAAGAAAAGATTAACCAGGAAAACCAAATTCACGGTCTCTTCAATTCCAAGATTAAACAAACCAAAGAGTTACAGAGGAGAGAGAACAATTTTCTCCACTACTGGTGACTTACTGACATTGATTAGATTGAGGTTCATTCTTCCCACACATGTTCGCTTCCAGATGAGCTACCTCTTCAAACTCTCCCCATCATGATCACATCAGTAGTGATTTCGCTCATGCGTAAACACAAAATGCGTATGCCGCTTTCTAGGCAAGAGGCATTGGTTGAGCCCAGGTGAAACAGTGTAACACGTTAAACAGTATCACAAACTGGCTGGTGAATTTCTTGCTTATAAACTGTCGTAATAGTGTGTTAGTGGAATATGGATACAGCTAAATTAACTTACTTACGTAGTGTGTGAATAATCCATCGTTGGAAAAAATGAAAATATGAACATTAGGCAATACAAGATGGTAACCAGAGCTTGTAAAATAAATACATTGTGAAATTTTGATTAAATGTTTTTATTGAAATTTGAATTTCAACAATAAAATGTTACAAGATATTCTGAACATTGTAACTACCTTTCTGTTTTTCAGTCATCTAAAAAATTTTTTTTGACGAGGGACAAAATAGGAGAAAACTTCAAACATTTTGTTGAATTTGTTTCCCCCTTTTTTTGACTAGTTCTAATGGTAGCATTCATTTTTCTGAATGTTTACCAGGCTTCTACAGGGGAAAAAAATGCTTTTATATTTTATATATCACCTGGACCATTCCAGCATTTTCTAATAAATCAGAAGGACACCAAAAGTTAAAAGGTTATGAAAAGGTTATTTAAAAGGATGGCAAATGGATTAAATTTTGAGTAATCAACTGTAAATGTTTAATAAATATTACTCCCTGTGGTAGTGCAGAGCTTTGTTTCAGCATAAAATCATCTGAGACAAATCTGCTTTTGCTTCAGTGACTGCTCATTGTTAATTTATCTGAATGATGCAGGTGGAGTGATTAAGATGCTGTATACTTTAAATCTCCTTATTTGAGATAAGGAGAACACAAGGTATTTCAAACCAAGGTACAATAGAATAATATAGTAACAAGTGAAAATATCTGCAGATATATGACAACCACTTACTTGTTTGTCTCCTTTTCAACTGCCACTAACTTTGAATATACGCTATTGTATGTGAATTTCTGGCAGGATTGGGTTCAAATGAGGACTGTATCTTGTTGCAATTAAATAGCTCGACCAGCATTATGGACCTAGTCCAATGAAGTCTAAATCTTTCCATTGACTTTAGTGGGCTTTAGGCCAAGTCCTATATCATGTTAAGTAGCGTTACACTGGGATGAGAAATATTTTAGATTGTGATTTCCTCTAAGATGGCCATTCTTTAATGATTGATCCCTTGTCCAGGGATGTCTGAGTCCTTGGTTAGAGCAGAGATCTTCTTACATCCCAGTATTTTCTGCTTTATCTTCCCCCCTCCCAAATTGTATAGGTGCCCATTCCTCTGTCACCTTTCTGGCTAGGGAAAAATCTGGATTCCGTCATCTACCTTGCTGCTGAGCGTTGTACAAATACCAGAAGGGCGAGACTGATTCTGCAGGGAGGGGCTCTGGCCGGCAAAGAGAGGTGCTGCTTATCCTGCCTAGTAGCTGAGCATCCAGCACTTTCAGTCCCTGCTGGCTCAGAAGCTAGACAGTTAGAATTAGAAATTGGGACTTGGATCTCCTGAAGGACAGATGAGTCCGGCTCACAAGCAGAAATGTCGCAGTTTCAACCAGGAGCAGAGTTCTCCCCCAAAGTCTCAGGTTTTGTGCTTCAGTGAGGGGGTGCAGGATCTCTCCTGGCATGTTCTCCCATTTCTAGAACCAAACTCAGATGAAGACTTTTTCAACCGTGAGATGTTCAGACAAGAGTTTTTGGTTTTTTACACTTCTGACTTCTTGCCACAAGTTTGTTCTCACAGTAATTCTGGCTGAGGTGAGAAGATAGAGAAATCTCACAAACAAGTCTATTCCCATGAAATTTTCAGCCCAGTTTGACTGTGTTACATGGCTTGGATAAGCAGCCAGACTTGGGATGCCTATCTGAATCAAACTTAAACTGAAAGTTATTTATTAACGAGAGCTTAATTCTGCATACTTTTCAAGCTCTGTTTAAAGTCTATTCTGTTCTATATAGGTTCGTGGGCTGAGCACTGTAATATCTGAATGCCTTCCAGTAATGCACTAAGCAATGTGACTATGCATCTGTGACAGGGTGTACCAGGCCTTTTGTGGCCTTGGTGGAGACCCTGTGATCCTAAAATATCCTGCTCCAGGAAGGAGCAGCAGAGGTGGGTCCTCCAGGCCTCATGGAAACAGTCAATCAAAGGCCAGCTGTCTCAGATAAAAGGAGCTGCAGGTCCTGAGCAGGTCAGTTCCTGGTGTGGGACCGTAGGGGCAAGGCAGGGTGCTCTGCTCTGTTCAGAGTAACGCTGTCTACCATCTTCATCCACCAGGGTGGGGTGGAGTTTCTTAGCCAAGCAGAGATGGTAGAAAGCATTACTCATGCATGCTGTTAGGAGACCTCAGCATCAGTGAGGAATCCAAGAGTACAGACAGAACTGACTCTCTCCCCTCTCCCATTGGTATCTTCAGCCAACGGAGACTGCACCATGGTTGCAAGCTCTTCTGCCCATCAGCATCAACTCAGTCTAGCTTGTGTTCAACTTCAGCCATGAGCTGATTTCATCCAAGCACAGGACCAGCTTGATGGTGATGGTGTGGGTGAATGTGGTGAAGAATCTGTAGAGCTGTGCCTTGCTTAGATGTTGCTGGCACATGAATCCATGTTGTCTGACCAGTTCACCTAGTGGCTGCAGGTACATGTTGAAAAGGACAGGGGAGAGAATTGATCCTTGTGGGATTCTACAACTGAGGGGACTAGTGGTGGTGGTACAATTTCCAATGACTACTTGGTAAGGGCAGTCCTCCAGGAAGGACAGGGGGGATGCATTGAATGGGACTATTGGAGCAGCGGATCAAAGCTATATAGTATTATATTGATATGTTGTTGCCATAGACACCTTTCCATTCTCCGAGGTCTTCTAATAGTCTGGGTCTTGATCCAAAGCCCACTGAAATAATTGAATTAGACCCCTTGTGGACAGTGCACAAGACCAAGAGAGAACCTAAATTCTAATCCCAGCTCATTGTGTGACCTTGGACAAGTCACTCTACTTATTCTAAGACCTGGCCCAGTCCCAGTGAAGCCAATGGGAGTCTTTCTATTGGCATCAATGGGCTTTGGATCAAGCCTCTAATGATAAGTTATTCTGACTCAAAAAGACCAGGATACCAGTGCTCCCTGAAGCCAAGGGGAGTCTTTGGATCAGTCCCTTGAGACACTTTATGATGAATTAAAATCCAATTTACCCGAAGTTTCCTCTTAGTATATTTTACGTTAGAGACTGTACTATTGCTAACAGACTGCTAGCTTTTTAAGTAAAGCAATATTACACCAGTAGTTAATGCAAGTAGCTAATTTTTATAAAAAGAAGCAACACTAGTAAAGAGATAAGTGTTGTATTTCCTTTTTACAAATTTTTGGTGGCTGCCTTATATATTTTGCTTATACATTTATGCAATTATAGATACAAATTATTCACATTAGGTCTTATGCAGCCCTGGAAATGTATGTCTCGGGAGTCAGCATGTAATTTCCTTCTGCACAAATTGCAGAATTATGCAATGAAGTTAAGTACATTGAATAATGCTAATTTACAATTGAATTCCTATGGATTTACATATTACAACCACATTAATGCCAAAGGAATCCACGATATTGTCAAATAGGTTAATAACGGTTACTGTTAGCACAGTGGATGCCAGAGGAATTAATAATGATTAGCCACTTATTTTAAATGTATGCAGTTAACCTAGAAATTATGAAATAATTTCACATCAATATTTAAAAAGTTGTAGTGGCTGGAAAGCGAATGACATTTCTTTGTTATAAAGAGTTACCTGTGTAAATACTGCGCTACAGTACTCGGGCCTGATTTGAAGCCTATTGAAGTCAATGGACAAACTCTCACTGGCTTTAATAGGCTTTGGGTCTGGCCCCTAACGCTTTGCTCCTTAACAGGTTCAAACCTTCCTAGTGAGTTCTGTCTAAGTGCAGAGTTTGAAACCCTGCTGAAGGTTTTAACTATTCTCACTTTTATAATCCTAGAACCTCTTATCTTTTCTCCTTCCTCTCTTAATTTTGGTGGTGGTCTTTTTTCTTTCCTCTTTGCCCCCCACCTCTGTTCTTCCACACACCGCCAGGCTCTGACCAAATCCTGTTGCTTCTTGTTCTACAGCATCTTAAAAATCCCATTTCCCCCCCCCCACACTCCGCCCCCCATCTCTACTGCTAAAACTTTTATTCATCTCCCACCTTGACTAGTATCACCTTCTCTTCCCTGGTCTCAGCATATCTCATTATACCATCCTCAGTTCTATTCACAATCATTTCCTCCTTCTGTTGCTGCTCTGCTCTTTCTCTCCTATTCCTGTCCCTTCAGTATCTTCTCACATTCTGCATTAAGTTCAGGCTTCTTGCCCTTGCTTTCAAGGCTCTGTGCTCCCCCTCCGCCCCGAATCCTCCGCTTACATCTCTACCCTCATTTCCATCTACTTCCCCCTCGCCCGCACATCAACATTCTATTCAAGCTTCCTTCCTGAATGCCTCCTTTCGTATCTTTCCCTCATTCCCCCCATTGCATCTTTTTCCATGTCAGCACTTATCCAAATCCATATTCTCTCTCTCTCTCTCTCCTTCCTTCCTTCTTTCCTTCCTCCAAATCTATTGAAGTCAATGGGAAGACTCCCATTGATTTCACAGGGCTATGGACCCTGGCCCTAAACGACCTGCCTGTCTTCTTTCCAACCTCTGTCTAAAACAACTAACCCTTGGTAATGTTTCAGGAATACAGCACCAAAAAGAGATTTTAAAAAATCTGCACCACTTTGAGCTTGAACCTTCAGTTTAGGCATCATGTGTTTCTGCATTGTGTGTGGGATTTTGACCACAAGATCTTTTCAGTGATTATCTCCAGAGTACAAAGATAGTGGATGGGTTCTCAACTTGGGAGTCACAACCAGGTGAATGACTACCCAGTCCTTCCCATATTGCTAAATGGAGAGCTGGGGGGGTCTCCTGGCTAGATTTAAGCTTTCCTTACTGGAACCCTAAGCCGTTTTAGTCTCCCCGTCGTGATACTACATTAAAATTCAGCTCCTCATGTCTCAGTGTTCACATATAAATAAACGAAGAGATACAAAAAATAAAACTGACTGTATTATAATCAGATTATGGATTGGTGTGGCAAATCTTATTTAAGTCTTTCCTGAGGAGAGAATGCAAATAACAAGCATACTGGGAAGTGGGGGAAGGCAAATAAAGGCAATTGAAAATGTATGAAGCTTGTCATTTGTACAAGCATTAATATTTAACTTTCCTCTTTCACAGGCTATTACCATTTGAATTTGTAGGATGCCAGAGTTCTCCTGTTTTGGATGAAACATAGGTTTGCTCCTGGCAGCCTTGAAAGGTGCCCAGATTTTATTTTCTTGAATACAACACATACAGTGCATTTAAGTCCACTTAACACCCAAGAAACATTTAGCATTGTTCCTAGAGAATCTTTCTATTGACTTCAATCAGCTTTTGCATTTGGCCCTTACTGGATTAGCCAGTGGGAAATTTATCTTGACCTTACCTAAAAGAATGTTGCTGCTCGCTCACAATGGGAGACATTAGTTGGAATTTCAGCTGCAGGAGTGTGTATTATTGTATTGACCGTATAATTGACTTTACTAATTGGCTAAGCCTGTTCAAAGCATGGGGGCAGAATTGGCAGCTGCACAAAACAAAGTCAGGAATTTACCCCCAAGGACAAAGGGGGGCGGGAGGGAGAGGAAAAAAGGAAAGGGCATGTTTTTTTTTTTTTGCTTCATTCAGTGCTGCTGTTAAGATGAATGCTTACAGCCATTGAATTAACATGTTTGTAAACAAAGTTATGAGTTATGATTTTGTGCAGTAGGGAAAAGAGTTAATCCATGACACCACTTGGTCTCTGAATAAGCAAATGGGTAATAAGCCAATTCCTCCCAGCACCAGTTGGCTGGGTTGCTTTTTATTTTTCGCTGGGAAAAACAAAGGCACACTCAGCCTTTGATTTAGGACAACCTTTTGATGAACAGGAATGGTATAAGGAGAATATCCTTCTAGTCAATTTACACATTTTACGGGGATACGTCTAGGAGGTGGCTGTTACAGGAAGATAAGGATTCTAATTTTGTAATTGAGTGCACTCTGAAAAGACAATTAGGAACTAATGTGATAAGTAATTGTAAACTGTAACAGCAGAAGGAAGCCGATTCACAGTCCTCTGTGAAAATGGTATTTGTGTATTCAAGTGATGTGTCTGTGCTTTATTTCCTCTGCATGTACGTTTTATTTATTAAATGATAGAAAGGATTTCTGTACACTTTTGATTAAAGAGCAGAAATCCAAAAATTGTTGGAGTGCAAACATATCTCAGCCTTATTATTCTCAGTACAGTGTGAGCATAATATTAGGTGGGACAATATTTTTGGCACTCGTGCCAGTAACCAAAAGCAGCATGGCCCTGATACATAGAAGAGCTGGACAACTGCTACTCCCTGGCCAAACACAAGTAGAAGGAGAGTAGGCGGTACTGCCCCTGCCTATCCCCACCAGGGGAGAGCAACATTTAGGGTCCGGTACTGCAAGCCCTTACTGTTGTATTAATTTAGATGGAATATATGGGCCAGTCACTGTCCAGTATTAAACAGAGTTAAACGAGGTTCAGGGTTTGGCATACAGAGACCTCAACCTGCTCAACCATGGTGCAAACATTATTACAAATCCTTTTAACTATTTATTAAAGATACAGAAAAGAGGGAAAAACAATTGAAGCATTTGAAATGTGAAGTATTAAGTAAGCCTTTTATTTTAACAACATTTCTGGTTCTCTTTCCCTCGAGCTGGAGAGAGTTTTAGAAGAAAAATCCTCCTTGTTTGACTGTCTCTTAGATGGTATCAAAGATGGTAGTAACTGTTCTTTTGGGTAAAAGAGAAGAAGTTAGGTGAGATACGCTGGAGCTCTTGTTGCTGCTGTTATTAAAGTCCACTCCTCTCAGGTGGCATTTGGGATTCAACTGGAGCTGGTGGGGGTGGTGATGTCATCTGGATCCCTCTCTCTGGCCTGACTGATCAGGATGTCTCTCAGAATCAGGATAATGGAGACCCTGGGTTCCAGGAAACAATGGAGGGTGGCAGCCATGATAGGGAAGCTCACTCCAGTAGCCTCTGTCTGTTCTTCCCTGGTCTCCCCCTCACCCCGCCCCTGTTTATTTAAGGGGAAAAGGGCATGGTGGGTGGAATAGCCCATCCCCTCATTATTTTGTCCACCAATTTGTTGTAATATCCAACGTACCCATTTTGGTTCATTCATGTCCAGTTTCACATCTTCTGTTTTTTCCACCCATGATTTTAACACTGTGTTTGAAACCTATCAGTAGGCCCTTTTGTTTACACTAATTCAATCTCTGTCTCACTTTCATACCTTTTCCCACTGACATTTGTTGTAGGTTATTGTGACATCTTATGAACTTTCACATACCCTTTACAGTTGAGCTCACAATAAGAGTAAATTTGTAGGCCCAGTTACCACGTTACTCACTTTATTCACATGAGAAATCTCATTGACATATTTATCTAAGGGCTCTAAGAAGAGGAAGGATGTTCCAGTGGTTAGGGCACTACCCTAGGACTTGAGATCTGGGGTCAAGTCCCTGCTCTGTCAGAGACTTCCTGTATGACCTTGGGCAAGTCACTTAATCTTTCTTGTGCCTCAGTTGCCTGTCTGTAAAATGGGGATAATGGCGCTGCTCTACCTCACAGGGATGTGGTGAGGCTAAATGCCTCAAAAATTGAGAGGCACTTAGATGCTTTAGTAGGAACCTATAGGTACCTTAGATACATTAAATCTGTGGACTGAAGCTGCCCAGCTGCCTTAACCATTACCCCTCTTTAGCTAGCAGCTCTGTGTGAGGTCCCCTTGTAGAGGGTGCCCATAACCCCCTGCAGTGCTCTCTCCAGGCAGATATTAAACTTGGCTGAAACAAACAGCCATTTGGAATTCAGATGACTGTACAGAAACCCCCTCTGCAGTGTTCAGCTGGTTCTGGGTTTTCAATTCATCTGAATTGTCTACACAAACTACTTTAGCTTTCTTCCTACGGGTTTTAATAAGCTTTCACGATCAAGCATCAAAGCAGCTTCAAGTAGCTGAAAGTAAAAACAAAAACAATGCCAAAGGTCCCCCAAGAGGCCTTGCTTTATTAGTTTCCTACTGGCTCATTTGACTCAATCCTCTTTGGGTTCCTTACTAAATAATGTACCCAAGAATTATGTAGAAATATATTGAAATGCTTTCACAAAGCTAAAGTCTAAAAGTTCCCCCATATGCTTAGCTGCACCAGCTTCCTGCGGATTCATAAACTGAAGTGTAATCAAGTACAATGTGCTCACTAAGGTCTGGACGGTGATGTTGGGCCTACAGCCCTGAGCAAAGCAGGGATGCCTAAGCTACATCATCTCAGGAGGCATTGGGACTCAAAGGCACAATATTGCCTCGCTTCTTCCTTGTGCATGGTTGGTAGCAATTTACTGCTGGGCTACACCAGCAGCAAATAACACGACTACTTGTACTGGTTCTGCTGCACTGGTCAACAAGTAGTAGGAGGTGGACAAAAGGCTCTTCTCATTCCCCACCTACTTGCCACCCACCTGCTCTGATATGGGAGAAAGTAGAGTGGGGTGCACAGTACCTGCTTATGTGCCAGCTGCCACATGAAAGATTAAACTAGGGAATTCTAGAGATCAAAGCATGAATGCTGTTGCTTGAGCAAAGATTTTCAGGTTGAGGTTGTAATAGTCTCATATCCTCTGTGGATTGGGCAGAGAGGAGGACTTGTAATGAACACTTAGCAGTGTGTTACACTTAAGAACATAACATAAGAACAGCCATACTGGGTCAGACCAAAGGTCCACCCATCCCAGTATCCTGTCCTCCGACAGCCCATGCCAGGTGTCCCAGCGGGAATGAACAGAACAGGTAATCATCAAGTGATGCATCCTCTGTCGCCCATTCTCAGCTCATGCACACCCAAATTCAAGGGTTCCATAGCCTGCACTGGAGCATAGGGGATTGTTCTCCTCCCCCGGTAGTCCAAATCACAATCTAGCCCTAAGTGGTTATACCTATATTTAAAACAAAGAAACAAACTGAGAACACAGCAGAGAAACAGGCAGTAAAATAAATGAAGAAAAGCCAATATTTTACCATGGTGCTCAGTCTTGGGTCATGTCTTTCTAAATCTTTGTACTCTCTTCCTGGAGTTTATTAAGCAGATGAGAGTGCTGATTTGATAACTAAGAAGTTGAACATTTTCCATTTGTGCTACACATGCGGTTTGGCTGGAAATTGCAATTGTCTTTACCCTCTGTTTTCTGATCTTTGTATGTGGGCAAAGATCAGGAAAGACTAGAATTTTTCTACCTCCAAGAAACATATCCTTAATATTTGATTATTTCCTTATCTTGTAGGTCAGATAAAAATAGTATTGATGTGCCATTGTTATCTTTATGTATTTTATCTAATCTAATTTAGCTAAGGTACTTCTAGACTGCTCTTCACTGTAGTATCTAAGCAGCATCTTATGCCTTGAGGAGAACATGTAACCCTTCTCAACTTAAATACATTTATTTTTTGAATCCATCAGTGTAGGCAGACACTCTCAGCAAACTGAACAGGGTCCACTGATTCTTTGCCTGCAGAGACCCCCCCATAATTCTGATTTTTTTTTTGACAGCACTTAATTGTCAAGTTGTTCCAGACACCTTCCCAAGATTAGATTAAAAACAAGTTTATTATTTTGGAATGGAATTCTGTTGTTCCCTAACCTTCTCCTCCCCCACAACGATTCTCATCTGATCAGCAGCAAAGTTATTAACCTTGCCAAATACATTTTCAATTCTTTCCTCTAAAGTGGACATGGAAAACATTAGCTGTTTAGCTGTTGATACATTTTCTTGTAACACTTCTCTTTTTTTGTGGTTTCTACGTCTGGTTTTCTAAAGCTTTCTCCTGTGTCTCTGTCTCTGGTATTACTAACCTAACTTTAAAGAAATTGGGCTTTTCTTGTTTTTCTTTACTGGACTATTTTTAATTAGCTTTTTGCAGCTTCATTATTAGTGCCTTAGAGGCACTTGGTATCTTGCCTATTTAATTCAATCTATTCCATGGTATTTTGTGCTTTTTGTCTTTCCCCCTTCACAATTCTTTATCAGTATTGCAGCTAGTTGAAATTTTTCAAATTTTGAAATAAAAAAAGTGGGAAAATGTATAATGAATTTTTTTTGCAGGCCCCTCCCCCCCCCATTCTGTAACCTACCCTGAAACTTGTAGCATTTTTAAAATTTGTGAATTTCAAAAAGGGAATTTTTTCCATATGTAAAAAA